GTTAATCTAAACAGGGCTTGGTGTCAACTTGGAATACATTTTTTTCAGAAAAGTCCAGGGTTAACTTTGAATTTCAGATAAGCTTTAGAGATGGAGGCTACGACTCCTCTTCCCCATCCCCCACCCAACATTCAACCAATTATTCAGTTACTGAACCAAGGCCTTGTGAAACGGCCGTAAGAGTCAAACTTGCTCAAAATTTGCCTTTGTTCGTAAAATCTTTTTTTTTTCTTGAGTTTTAATAGTATATCCTCTTGTTGATCTTGGGCTTATTAATCTCTGTATTGCTTCACCTTTGTTAGGTCGGCCGCATGGGTAGTTTTGTGATGGGAATAGATCAAGACAAGAAAGAAGAAGGAAAGCTGACAAAGACAACCAGAGATAGGTAAGCGGTGTACATAATTCTATCAACATAATGTAACGTAACATAACGAAAAATAGGCTTAACGTAACGTAACGTAACATAACATAACGTAACGTAACATTTGTTGTATTAAAAAGGTACACTAAACATTTTCTTGAGTTACATTTACCTTGCCTCTACATTCAATAGCTTTTTTTTTGTTTTACCATATTGACGTTTATGTTGTGATATTTCAGCTCCAAGACATCCATTGAGGCTGTTCACGGCCTCATGTCTCAAGTCATCAAAAACAAGCTCTTCAACCACGTTGGTGGAAAAGAAACAACATGACAAGGAAAAGCACTGCCGATTGGTTAATCTGAAATTCTGAGCGTTATTTCCTGGCTAAAAAAAGTTCGTTGCCTCTGAGACCACTACAAGAAATGAGGAAATGTAAATATTTTTTGTAGAATAATTAAATAAGTTTCATGTTGTACCGTTTGTTGAATATTCTGTTGAAAACAATTCAACTTTGACTCTTTCAAAACAGGCTGTACTGGTAAAGGGGTTTAACAGGTTGTATGATTGCCCGGGTGCCACTGGAAAAACGTATTTTCTGGGCAGCCAGGATTCCATGGTTAGGAACCTTTGGGCTCCTCGTAATTTTTGTTTTTTGTTTGGTTTTTGGCTTTTCGGCACCTTTATGTGTTTGTGTAGGTTGCGTTACACTTATGATGCTCCTGCACTGGTGAACACCAGCCTTTGCATCCTACGATAATTCTGAACTCATGTAAAAGCAGGTTAAAGCTCCTAACGGTGCCGAGATATAGGAGAATCTTCGTTTACAATATTTGCCTCGTTAGCATAAGCGATACAGTTTCTCATAGAGCTACAGGAACATAAGTTTTGAGTATTGAAAGGGTTAAAAACTCAAAATTTCACAAAGAATGTATGAGCTCATTAGTGCTTTTGCTACCCAGAACGTTTGGAGTTTTTGAAAGCCAATTTCTCTTCGAATTTTACACCCAAAGAGCCAAACATTTTACAAGCTCTTAAGTTTAATGTTTGTAGTCTAATCGTGTCTAGCGTGACGCGTTCTCTGCGCAAAGTCGAATCTTTATGAGGAAAAATGTAAACAATGACGTCAGCAGAGGTTCGTGTATATTGGTTCGGAGAAGTAAGATAAAAAAAATGTAAAATATAACTAAGTGATTGTGGTGGTCTTCAGACACAAATGTTTCGAGTTAACCAAACATGGTTAACATGCCAACTGGTAGGAATTTGCCCAGTTGGCTATTTATAAGGTGTGGCTAAGGAGCTGAATTTGGGAATACAGAGGCCAAATCCTGGCAAGGGAGGAAGGCTTGATCCCGGGATCTCTGGATTACGAGAACAGCGCCCACGACGAGATATCTTTAGTCTCCTTTGCAGCCGTCTTTTGGGATGTCACGCAATTGAGTATGCGAGGGTTGTGTGACATCCTGAAAAATGGCTTCGGAGAAGACTAAGATATCCTGGGATTACAATAGAAAATGTACTGAAAGAATCGGTCGACATCCTCCATGTAAAAACTACTTTTCCAAGGTTGATTTTCTTTATTGAGATTTTCAAAATTACAGAAACCAAGTGTAATTAGTATTAGTTTCCAGAGCGTTGTGCTCATGACATTTGAATAAATCCCTGTGTGAATTGATACCTCCCTCCTGCAGCGAAAGGAAAAAAAAAAAAAAATTTTTAGGATGGTACCTACTAAATAGAAAGGTCTTGTCGCCGGATTAGGACCATGTGGAAAAAGTAGATCATAGCAAGGGCTATTGGAATCCACAAAGAAAACTGGAGGTAACCACGCAATTTTCCGAGATAATTAGCCTTAGATCTCGAACAAAATGCTGACATCAGCATTTTTCTGAAAAAGAAGGAAAAGATTTTTGTTCACAGCTTTCCTTAGAATTCGCCTAATTTATAGTACAATTTTACTTTCCAAAGAAAACCTTTTCTCACCTGATCCTATATTATTTTATAAACGTAGTTTGTCCAGCTCTTTCCAACTCCTTGCCAGCACATCTGGGGAGGTGCGATTCCGTACTTATCATACTGTACCGTGTCGGCACTACCACTCCAACATTCTCCATAGAACTGCATGCCAAACACCTAAAATAGCGGGGGAAATTAAAGGATTGGTTCATGCTCAGCGTGCGTATATCGAGTTTTAGTATAAACCCACCTAGCGTTCTATCACGAATGCCGTTCTCTGATTGGCTACTCTACTCACTATTCTGTGATAGATAGTGAGTAGCGTAGCAGTGTGCCCTTGTTAACAAAGTGACGTCCGTTTCTTGGCGTTTGCGAAGTGTCTGTGAAGAGCGACTAGTAGATCTATACTAAAACAATTAAATTATTCGCTCTCGATTTCTATGCATGATAGTTGACTCGGGCTGCGCTGAAATCTCGACCTAATTTAATGGATGCACGCGGGAAGTTTGGGGAGCACGAAAGAAGCGTAAGAGTTGCTCGAGGCAATAGCAGAGAGCAGCTCTAGCTTCTTCAGTGGTCTCCAAACTTCCCGCTTGCATCCATAACTCGATATACGCACAACTAAAAGCATGAACCAATTCTTTTTTAACATGGTGACAACAACTTGGGCGCTAAAACATGTTTTATTTGTGATTGACTACCAAATTCTCACAATGCACGGTGAAGAAAAACAAAGGTCATTTGGATTCTAACACGCCAGAATCGGTTGTGCAAGAGTTGAACGAAAACGCTTAACCTGGTTTCCAAAATTGTCGACAAAAAATTCGCTTCATCGAATTAATTATAATGAAAATGTAGGCAAACAAAGTCAAAATACTCAAGTTTAAGTAAACGTCTTAGCTCGGTAAAAGTCAAAACGATTCCTAAATATAGAAAACTAAAATAAAAATATAAACGCCCCAAAAAATTTTACCTACGCTTACCATATTTGTAGAGCATGGTATAATGGTTTATATACCACGATGGCTGAGCCAATGAAAACTCTTGATCCAGTTTTTAATAATTTAGTATAACACGAGGTCGAGTGAGAGCTCTTGTCAAGTCAAGTCAATAGTCGTCTGATCGAGTCATGAAAACGTACGTGTAAATTCGAGTTTGCGAGATCAAAGTTTGTTTCCAAGGAAAAACGAGTCGAGCGATCATTTCACCAACTAACCTTGTAGCCTTTTCCTTGAGCAACATTAGCGCAGTTCGTGATGGTTTTTCCAATGTTGTACCAGTCAATTTGTCCCCGGAAACTTTTCAGTAGGTTAGGAATTGCACGCGCGGGCTTTGNCATTATCATTATCATTATCATTATCATTATCATTATCATTATCATTATCATTATCATTATCATTATCATTATCATTATCATTATCATTATCATTATTTCGTTGAGTACACCCTACAAGATACTTTGACAGCTAAAAATAATGGCGTTTCGTCAGTTATGAACACCCTATGTTAGACCATAGTCCTCGATTTATGCCCATAAGCAAGACGAAGATTATCCTCGACCTCTTCATATGGTAGTCCCGGCCCCCCTCCCCACGAATTCAGCAAAGAAGTGCGATATTTTCGGACTTTGATCGAAACTTTCCAGGGTCCCGTAAATTCACCTGATATTTTAAAGAACTGCTATTAAGAGTAACTTGAGCCATTTTCCACTGATCTCCTTGATCGCCGGACAGGGACCAAACTTTCCTCAGGCTACCCGTGACAGGCTTGATATACACATTCAACTCTCCCATCCCTTCGCCATACATGTGGTACCAAAATGTCAGACATCGACCTCCAGTTGCTGGGAAGGTTTGGCTGAGTAATTTCGCCTTCTCGCCTGCACTAATGCCACTAGTTTCCACGAATAGGTAGTGGCCTGAAGAGAAAGAAAATTCACTGAGATAATGTATTATAATGTATTTTCTCGCGTTATGGAATGCACGCTTGTTGTAGTGATATTTCAGATGTTTAACAAATTGCCGTCACCTCAGTTTTCATGTGTCTCTTCAGTTATTGATCTTGAATTTCGCGCTAACATTGTCAAAGCTGTGGATCGCCGAGTGGATCCGTAGACTAGTACTGCGGATGAGAAAATTAAGGACAGACGTTTGAAAAAATGACGTTAAATTTGCTTTTTACTCTAAATTATCGCATAAATTATAAATTCATGTGTCTGTCCGCCTATTGGCAACGAAAATTAGCCAATGAGTGCGCGAGAATTGGTGCAGTTATTGCGAAATCGGTATTCATACTTAGTATTGTTTCGCTTTGGTAGAGCGCATGACTATTGGTATTTCGGTATATCAGGCCGGGGGCGGGTGTTTTTTTCTTTTTTTTCACTCCAGTGCATCTCTCGCTTATGACATTTCTGTGGTTTTTCTACCCTTTTCCTTTATTTTTGCTGTTAGTTTAAAGCTATAGCTGAATAGTTTAAGTTTTGTCCTCGTTTCACTGCGGCGTGATTGGAGAACGTTGTAATATTCATTCAGACAGATTATCACAGACTTTCGCTGATAAGATCTAAATGAAGAAGTTGTGAGCAGCGACAGTTTCTGTAACGCCAAGGAGTCTAGCCTCGGTTTTCAAGTCTTGTCCCAGCGACTTAGCTAATAGCGCGCCTTACAATAAAGCGGTTTCCATCATGTCCACTTGCGGTCTGGCCTACTTGCGGCTACATTGGTCCAAAAAACAACTATTTTGGCCTAATACTGTGTTACGAATACACGTTTGCCTGTTTAACCAGGCAAGTGAGTTCTCACCAAGACTGTTCTCGCAAACAATAATTGATCACCCGAGCTCGTTTACAAGCGAAATATCGAGAAATGACAACCGCCTAAAGGGGGCAAGCTCTCTTCACTCATAGCTTTGTCTGATACCCCAAGCGGATCAACAGTCACGTTCTTATCTCGCAAGTAGTAGCTAGTCTTTACTCTCAAGGACGAGACACGCTATGTTCCGCTGTGCAATGGTTGGGCTCAAGCCTGACTCTTCCCCAGTCATTTGTCATCTCATGATGTTAGAAGACTGGCAACCAGGATTGTTTTGATTGGTTACCTGAACCTGACGTGTGGTCCCCGGATGGTCCTGTCTTGCTTGATAGGGTGCTGCCAGTGTTTCGCTCCCAGTTGAAGTTTGATGGATTATTTGGATCATTTTTCCAGTGACACATGCCATCAAAGTCAAATTCACAGTCATCGGGCCCTGAAATACGAGAACATAAATGGAAAGACTGTGTTTCTGTATGAAACCATGGGAAACGCGAACGCTTAACTCAAGCATCGTGGTTGATTGCTTTTTAGCTTCGAGAAATCAACGAGAACCTCCAATTATAATCTCAGTACAAAAGCAAAGGTTTAAAAACAAAACAAAGATGACACATATTGATGGCTGCTTATACTTTCGTAAATGCTAGACGAACATTTCATCGGCCTCCATTGGTCGGTGTCGACCATGGACTATGCACCCATGTGGTCGTTTCCTGCTGTAGTGACGTCACGGCTGAGACAGCATCGGCTGTGGTTGGTCAGTCCGATTCTGGAGTGGCTAGTGAGGTGGCAGTCTCCACCGCAAGTGTGGGTGTTCG